GTTATAACAACGTCTGCGAGCTGGCTAAAATGTGGTAGGAATGTGGTAGGAATTTCCGCACGCAATACAAAAGTATACAAAATTTGCAAACTTTGCAAGGCTATATTTTCCGCACTTTACAACATTTCACAACCAAACTTTGCATTTTTACTAATTTTAGTATGCTCTTTCTAGCTGTGGTGATTTATTTGCATCTCCTTGCCTATAGTTTTAAAATTAGTCTGTAATGGGAATTGTCTACATTACTGTGCCCAACATGATTACGCATCAACAAATTCATTTACGCTGTCTATATACGTACACGATTCTCAACTCACAATTTGCGATTCAACAACAATAATCTACACTACACGTTTTAGCCTATATTTATATACTAATTACAGAACAGGAATACATGTTTCCTGTACCACAAATTTCCCTTGCGTAAATGGAACACGTTTACTGCTATTTTGATCCCATTTTGTGGTCCATAATCCAACTGTGATCTACCACACCATCCCAAGTCACGTCCGTGACGTTCTAATGTGGGATTAGGTCACGTTTAACGATACAATTACAGGGTAATGTTTTCTATATATATACAGTATATGTACTATTTAAATAGTATCATTAATAATTCATAAACCTTGTGGTATATCTGATAAAACTCATCTTCGTTAGTATTCTTTATATAATTGTTTATCCTATAATTAGTATGATTATATAACTGTTCATCCTAATTACAGTATTCTTTTGTAGTCGTATTTTTAAGCTGTTCAAAACACTCGTTGTTGTGTTTTATCAGACGGCTGTGCTCTCGTGTTTTATATCTGATAAAGCACTCTTGCTCGTGTTTTACATAGTACATAATATTTTTATCACAGGACAAATTGTCAAATAGATATTACACACAGAATACATAACATTTTGCGACAATGGGTTAATAGAGAGGTTAAGATACCCCGGTTTCGGTGTACGTGTACGTGTACGGGTAGCATGATTTTGGTTAGCAATATTTTCGTCGATGTCTGTACCTTTACTCGTAATTAAGGTGCACATTTTTCGCATTATATCATTGTATGCCCCAAAGCAAAAACCACAAAATTCATCGTTCTTTTCCTTTTTTACAGAAGCTGTATCAGCAAGTTACTCAATCAAAAATCGAACCCTGAAATCCACACCGTTGAACAATGAATCTTGCGATGAACATATAAGTATATTCAAATCGTTATGAGCAGCTATACCAATAAATAGAAATTGCGTTTTATTATATGTTTTTATGTATATACAATATAGTTGATTGACGTTGAATGCACTATATACAGGGCGCAAAATAACGGCTGGAGGGTCGCCGGTCAAGGTGACTGGCCAACTCATTTTATAGCTCGGACATACCGAATTTCTGGCCGGTCAAATTATTCAGCTTAAAGCAAAACCTAGTAAAGTATACCCCTAAAAATGTGACGAAAAGCCTTACTGAAATCAGTAATTAAAAACTCCTTCACATACTAAACCGCTTGCACTGCGCTAAGCGAAAAAGCATGGCCTTAATTTAACTCTTATTAAGCCAAAAACATGGCCATGCATGGGCTTTGTGACGTACTGCGTGGGAAAGCTGGCGTACATTGAACAGCATGAGCTCCACCTTTGAATTTACTATGTGAGTAAATTCTTAAACACGTCCGAATTTATCATTATGATAAATTCGCGGCACATTTTGAATTTATCATAATGATAAATTCGCGGCATCTAACCCCCAACACTAACCCTAACCTCAACCCTAACCCTCTTTAAACTTTTTTTTTCCTTCTAAAACTTTTTTAAACTTTTTTATTGAAAATCTTGAAAATCTCTTATGATTAACTCTATTGAAAATTCAAAATGTGCCGCGTATTTATCATAATGATAAATTCGGACGTGTTTAAGAATTTACTCGTATAGTAAATTCAAAGGTGGAGCTCATGTTAACATTGATGTTCTTTTCCCACAAAATGGTTCTTAATTATAATACTTGACAACTTTATTTTGATTATTAATTCAAATGAAGATTAGTTTGTTGTTTTATCGAAAGTGACCGGTCAAAATGACCGACAAGGTAAGAAGTTGACCTGCGGACAACTTCGCATTCTGGCCGGACATTATCCGTTGACCGTCCGTTATTTCGCGCCCTGGACTATACGTGCAATATAGTTACTGACGCTGTTATCCAAGCTTCCAACCCGAACATTTCTGTTATTATGACACTGCAAAAATCCCTGAATATTTTGACCCGAAAACCCACTTAGTGACTCAAAATTTTGAGCGGTAAAATGACTCAAATGTATGAGCGAATTTGTGCTCAATTTTTTTTTACCAAAGTCTAAAGTTTACGGTAAAATTACTAAAATTTGTAAGCAAATTTATTTATTTTATTTTTATTTATTGAATTTGTCACAATACAAAAGTTACAATGACGAAGAAGACGCATACAGACACATGACAAACAAGTTATATGTGACAGCAAAGAGGAACAGAACTTTCGTCCCACTTGAAACCTAACTCCTATATGCATGTACTCAATGTTTTGACTAAACATTCTTTACTCAAAAAATGAGTGAATTTACTCATAAATTGAGGAATTTTTATGTGAATATTTTAAGTCACTGTGGAGTGTGGGTATACATTATTTTACTCGAGTCAAATGTTCGAGTCAAAATATTTTGCAATGGAGTTTTCCATCATAACTCGTAAGGGCCAAAGGCAAATGACCGTGGCTGTATTTCAACATTTTCACGACTGCAAATGCTACCTGCGTTTGACGTTTAGGGGAGGATACCAAAGAAAAATTGGCAAAAACATTCAGCGTCACGTATTTCGTGAATGGCTCCTTAACGACTTATTAACTACTTAAACTTACCGGACGTGCAGAGCGGTATTTCAGGACTAGGCAACATTAAAGTCAAGACAGACGAATCTGCCTCGCACAAAATCTGCTTTGCAAAAACCTGTCTATCGCCGGGGTGTAAGCTTGCCGGCAGTTATCGGTTGTTATTTACTATATATTATCCAAAAGAAAATGAAACATGACTCAGCGCATGGGCGTACCGGAAGGAAAAAATTAGGGGGGCGGCAAGAAAATTGCCCGACTTTTCGAGATTCTGCCCGACTTTTCGGGATTCTGCCCGACTAGGACCAAAAAAATTTTTCCGGAAAAATTATTTTGGCGACCTCCCCCCC